TCGGGCCTCGCTGCTCTTCCCCTCCCCCCCCAAGCGGCGGCGGCGAGGGAGGTCGCAGAGCGTTCCCTGCGCATGCGCAGGGGACGCTCTGTGACCTTTTGGGGGATTTAAGTATTCCCCCGATAGTTTTTTAAAGTTTTAAGATTTTTGTGCACACCTGGGGACCGCGCCACGTGTGCACAAAACTCTCCCTCTCCTCCAGGTCCCCCCAGTGCGCAGATTTAGGTATCCGCACACCAGGGGGCGACTTGGCTATTAGATATATAGATACAGGGCCTGATGTGGCTTTTGCCCAGCTCATGTAAAGGGGAGAGCCAGGTCCAATGCCTGAAAAATGAAGACAGATAGTGGCAGATGAACGGGTCAGATTAGATCAGTATGTGTACTCTGTGTGTATGCAAGAAAATACTTCTTAAACAACATGTTCATTTTAAAATACAACCCCAAATAGACCAGCATCTATGATAGCTCACTACAAAGGACCCAATCCAAGTGCTGTACAAAACATGCATTATTATTCAAAAATATATTATCTTCATCGTTTTCTTCATACAAAAACAATTACCACGAGACACAGTCTCAAAAAGTTGAACACAAAGGCAACATAAAGACACTACGTATACAGTCCAGTATCTTGTGCCTAGGGCCACAATTCCAAAACAAAGTCCAACAATTTAACTCCCACGTTGCCTGATAGAAGGCACAGCTGTAAAATCAAAGTTCTGTTTTTTAGAAGGCACAGCTGTATCATTAATGTCCTGGTCTGACTGGGGCATGTTGACCTTCCTTCTTTCTCCCCTTTCTCAAAAGGGCTTCGTCTGAGAAGCGACTGGGACCTGTGTAAGATACAAAGCACATGCCTAGAAAATTAGAACATAAGAGACGCCAATGTTGGATCAGGCCAAAGGACCATCCAGTCCAACACTCTCTATCACACAGTGCCCAGAAATACCAGTGCCATCAGGAGGTCCAGCAGTGGGGCCAGGACACTAGAAGCCCTCCCACTGTTGACCCCCCCCCCAAGCACCAAGAAGACAGAGCATCACTTGCCCCAGAGCCCCTATCTATACCTTGTGGCTAATAGCCACTGATGGACCTCTGCTCCATATGCTTATCTAATTCCCTTTTGAAGCCGTCCATGCCTGTAGCCGCCACCACTTCCTGTGGCAGTGAATTCCAAGTGTTAATCACTCTTTGGGTGAAGAAGTACTTCCTTTTATCCGTTCTGACCCGACCGCTCAGCAATTTCATGGAGTGCCCACGAGTTCTTGTATTGTGAGAAAGGGAGAAAAGTACCTCTTTCTCTACCTGCTCTTTCCCATGCATAATCTTATAAACCTCGATCATGTCACCCCTCAGCCGTCGTTTCTCCAAGCTAAAGAGCCCTAAGCGCTTTAACCTTTCCTCATAGGGAAAGTGTTCCAACCCTTTTATCATTCGAGTTGCCCTTTTCTGCACTTTTCCCAAAGCTATAATATCCTTTTTAAGGTGTGACCAGAACTGCACACAGTATTCCAAATGAGGTCGCACCATTGATTTATATAGGGGCATTATGATATTGGTTGATCTGTTTTCAATACCCTTCCTAATAATCCCCAGCATAGCATTGGCCTTCTTTATTGCAGTCACACACTGTCTCGACATTTTCAGTGAGTTATCTACTAGAACTCCAAGATCTCTCTCTTGATCAGTCTCTGCCAGTTCAGACCCCATCAACGTGTATTTATACTCAGTTACCTGTTAGCGTCACTGAGGTACAAATATCTTTAAAAGGTTTTTACCAGTCTTGTGGCAACACTTTTTCTTTCAGCCTTGAGATCCGTAGCCTGAAGCTTCCAGTTTTCTTTCCAAGTT